TTGAACAACTTTGCTTCTTTGATGTATAACAAATTCTCAATGGTTTTTGAGATAACTGGAAAAAACTTTTGGCCCTTCTAAGTCCCTTAATTTTTAGGGGTCAGCCCTTTTTTCAACATATCATTTGAAAGATTTTAATTCTGCACAAATTATGTTCTATATACTTTAACAAAATATTTTAAGTTTAGAAGATAAAAAGGAAAGTATAGTAATTCTTGGTTCTTTTAAGCGTTCTAATTTTTGACCCCTATATAGCGCCATTTTGAATAGAGAAATCGAAAACAAAAACCGATGTGCACAACTTCAATCCATTTATTATCTAAAATCAGTAGAATTTCTGCTCCAGCTTCAGCCGTCTCTGAGCCTTTGTCTGGAAACGAAAGCCTATAAATTTTCCTTTAAAGGGAAATAACTCAAAACCGGAAGTGGCTTTTTGAAATTTTAGGCAGCATTCTGATGGAGTTTATTAACGTCTATAACGTCTGAAAATTTGAGCGAAATCCGTTGAGAAATGAGCAAGATATAAAGCCTCAAAGTTGCTATTTAGGAAGCAGAAGAAAAAAAAGAATAATATTCTTTACCAACAGAATCAAAGAAGGTCTTCCGTTGGAAACGGAAGACCTTAATAAATATTAATGAAAATTGTAAAATTTCAGACTTATATCTAATATCAAGCAAGCAGAAATCTTGCAGGCCTACTTTTGTTAAAAAAAAAAAAAAAAAAAAATCTACGGTATATTGTACATCACAGCAGCAACGACTTGAGTTTGTGTAAAAAAAAAATAATCATTGTGAAATACAGGTAAATAATATTTTCAAAATTATAATACTAATCCTTGTCTGTCCCTTTCAAAATCTTAAATAGTAACAATTAATTAGAGCTTCTGATCATGATCAAATAGTTACAATTACTTGCCGTTTGTACAAAAAGTCGCTTGGTCCTATTTTTAGCAAATGTACATGTATCAATCCTATTGTGAAAAAATCGCGATGATAACTAGGTTTTGTAAAGTTAAAATTTTACACAAGTATGTGTGTATTTTAAGTAAATTTAGATTAGAATAAAACATCTTAAAACAAAGTATTAAATTATTGCTAACATATGTATCTCTTTCAAAACTGTAACACCTGTGACCTTGAACGGAGGTAACAAGGCAACCAACGAAGCATGAAGTGCCCGGTTATAAAAAGGAAAAGAAAAGAAATTAGGAAATCACAATACTTTAATACTTGTTTAGGCGAAGTTGTTACGTATGAGACATTTTATTTTCATCCTTACATTACATGCAAAAAGTGTTACCAGCTTATTTTCTACTTTATTTTCTTTGTAATTTTTCCCCGTCTCAAAAAAAGAATCATTCTTAATTTTTACAAGTGAAAACAAGATTTCATTCACCTACGCAATTTTCATTAGTAAAAATATACACAAATTTGATTTATTTTATTGAAAAATAAATGAGATAAAAATTCATTTTTTAATGACATATTTGTAATACAGATATTAATAAATTATAATGAAGCTGAAATTGTTCTCATTGAATTGACTTTCAAAATTGTGAATTTCATGGCTTTTCATTAAAACATGAACCAAATTCAATTGCTCGAAAGTTGTTACATGATACTCAGGTGACCTATAAGGCCCGTGGGCCTCTTGTTTAGAGTTTTCTTCATATTGGAAATAAGCTTTTTTATTTAATGTTTCGCATATTTTTATATGTCACATTTTGTTTAATGATTCACTTTTTTAGGATTTGATGCACTTGATTGTTCTGATGCTCAGCTACAAAAGTGTTTGCGCACTAGATTATACATTAGCATTGCACCATATTTCTGCAGGTATTGTTTTATTTTCCATATCCTTCCTTCAAGTATCTAGCTATACAATATAACTGCGTACTATTCAGAGATTTTTTCACCATATTAGTAAAATACTTAATTTAGTTAAGTGCCATTTGGTCAAGAAATAACATGCTAGGTATTTAAAAAAATCAACTTTATTGAAAAGATTTATGGGTATATAAAATTTACCCCTATCTGTCTATACATCTGCATGTCTGTTTGCAATAAAAAGAATACTATAATTACTTTCGTAATAAAGGCTATTACTTTCACTTTTTAAATGTGTTTTTCAAGTACAAGATCTGTCTTTGAGTAAAAACCAATTCAAACTATTGACCTTGGGACTTTGGCCTCCTTATTTGTAAAAAGTACTAAATCTAACCTTGGCAATAACATTTGAACACTTGGTGGGGCTTTCATAATTCACGTGATGTATATTTATCATTACAAGTCCTTTCCAGGATTGTAGATATTTTTTACCTTCAGATCTTAACCTTAGAATTGAAAAACTTTAAACTTGGCCAAAACATTTGCACAATGAGAACTGCGGCTTTCATAGTTCATACGTGTATTCTAACAATATCTTTGGAAATCAACAAATTTACTTTGACCATGGAGTTTGACATACTTTTTTATATTTCCTTGCAAGTTGATTTTTTATGCGTCTGGATTGATAGATCCGGGGCCTATATTGTATTTGTCCTGTCTGTCTGTTTGTTTGTCTGCAAACTTTTACCTTCGTCATAACTTTTAATAAACCATGAAAGATAGAGACTTCATATTTGGTATGCATACTCCACTAATGAAGCTTTTTCATATGACACCACGGTCAATGGACTTGTGGCCTTGACTGTCACCTGTATGCTAAAAATAGTTTTTTCGTACTTTTACCATTACTTTCGAACCACAAGAGATAGAGACTTTATATTTGGTATCCATACTTTACTAATCAATTTTTTTCAAATGGCACTAAGGTCAATGATCTTGATTGTCACCTATATGCTAGAAATAGCTTTTTTTTTAGTATTTTGATGCCGCCTGGCGCATGGTGTGTTTTTCAAACAAATCTTGTTCTCCCTGGTCTTTCCCTCCAAGGTGCTAGGTCCACATGTTTATTCTGCTGTTTCGGTGATTATATTGTGTATGTGTTTTACAGTGAATTCAGAAGGCAGAGAAGGTGTGTAAAAAGGGTTACTGATTATTGCAAATCAAATCCAGAGTTCCAAAAGCTTGTTATCATCAAACGATATAATTCCACGAACGAGCTGAAAGAAAAACAAAAAATGTGGCATTGTGGTAAGAAATTTAAGAATTGAGAATATTGCTACAATGGTATAAACATGCGTCTTCTTTATAAGATACTATTCACTTGAAATTCGTTTTTGTGACAGATAAAAATTATATGGTGTGTAAAGATGGCTTCAAATATTTCGTTGATCGAATTGTTGTTAAAAAGCAAGTTTCATCTAGTTGTCGCACGGCACGTACTAATATTAGCAAAATTCAAAGATTTTAATCTTAAAATAGAATTGACAAAACGAACAATGATAGGACAATAAATAAATTGAAGCTACAAGAAGTCTTGTGCTCTCTAGAAGAACCCCGCTCTAATGATTGATTGATTGTATACTGTTTAATGTCCCTCTCCAGAATATTTCACTGATATGGAGTCGTCACCATTATCGGTGAAGGGCTGCAAATTTAGGCCTATGCTCGGCACTTACGGCCTTTGAGCAGGGTGGGATCTTTATCGTGCCACACCTGCTGTGACACGGGGCCTCGGTTTATACGGTCTCATCCAAAGGACGGCCCCATTTAGTCGCCTTTTACGACAAGCAAGGGGTACTGAGGACCTATTCTAACCCGGATCCCCACGGGGCCCGCTCTACTGAGAATTAATACTATCAGATATATATATATATATATATATATATATATATATATATATATATATATATATATATATATATATATATATATATCCTGGTGCGCTTGAGATAAAGGATACCACAGAGTCTGAACTTATGTTTCATACTTGGATATTTTACTTGAAAAAGACGCTAATGGTAATCTAACAACCAAGCTATATGATAAACGTGATGACTTTTCTATCGTCAACTTCCCTTACTTATGCAGCAATATACCTTCATAACTTACATACGGAGTATATGTATCTTAGTTGATTCGATACGCAAGAGCATGCTCTACGTATATACAATTTCTAAAACCAGGTAAATTATTGACAAGCAAGTTGATGAAACAAGAATATCAGCAGTCTCGTTTAAAGTCATCTTTTCGTAAGTTCTGTAGTCGATACAATGACCCTGTCAGCAAATACAATTTATCATTGAGTCAAATGCTGACTGACGTTTTTCATACCAATTGTTAGTACATTATTTATACACTGATTGATGACGGATTTTTGTCAGGGGTAAGATAGTTATTTCTCATTTTTCGCATACTGTCAACAGGTATGTTGATATTTTTTTAAATAAAAGCATCTATCTACCAACAGAAAAAATAATTCCCAGAGTCGGAAGAAGACAAACAAACATTATATTTAAGCAGACTTAAACATATACCATCCGTAAAATATTTGATTAAATCGTGATACACAGTTTGATAAACATTTATATTAACTTAGGACATCAATAAAATAAAGGTGCTCTTAGACTTGTATTTTGTACATGTATCAGGTGACATTAACGTCAGAGTTTTTTTTTAATTTTTAAGACAAGTATACTTATTCTACTACAACTACTACTACTACTACTACTACTACTACTACTACTACTGCCAAACCTGTCATCTCTGGTGCACCTGCCCTTAGTTCTGTTACCATGGTAACGATGGTCCTGGCAGTCGTGATTCTAGATTTGTTTAATTTGATGAGAAAATGTCAAACAAAGCTTTAAAAGAATGAGTGTGACCATGTATTAAAAAACATACAGTATGATGCAATATATATTCGGACAAGATGGCGGCGTGTTTACATTTTCGTCCTGTAACTTACATATTTTGATGTAAATAAAAAAAGTTTAAAAATATCGTTGGTATTTTGCGTAGTTATTTTTAACCTCCGATGGTCATGTGACATTTGATATGTCACGTGATTTTATTTTCGTCTGCTTTGTTTACAAATTTTGACGACTGAAAGTGATATGGGTAGAAAAGGAAAAGAACTCAGTAGTGAGGTGAAAGAAGTCGCCAAGAAATTACTTGATAAGGGAAAAACTGTCAGGTATGTGGCAGATGTTCTCGGTGTATCCCACTCCACCATTGGATCACTGAAAAAACGTTTTGAAGAGAGAGGTTCAGTGGAAAACATCCCGCGAAGTGGTCGACAGCCTACTGTGACAGAACGTGACTATAGATGCTTAGAAAGGTTAGTTAAAGTTAACAGGAGGGACAGTCTAACAGAAATCACAAATAAATTTAATGAAAACAGGAATATTCCCGTATCTAAGCGTACATTACAACTTCATTTACATAAACATGGATTTACAAGACGTGTATCAAAGAAGAAACTAGTGATAAGGGAGATAAATCGAAGAAAGAGGTTGTAATGGTGCCAGGAAAAACGAAAGTTAACAGTGGAAGGAGTTTGGAAAAAAGTTATTTTCTTGGACGAATCAAAAATTGTTATTGGACGTGATTCAAGGGTGTATGTTTGGCGTAAGAGGGGTGAAGGGTAGAGGCCTGGTGATTTGGTGACTCAGCGCCGTTCGAAACTATGCTTTGAGGTCATGATCTGGGGGTGTATTACTTGGCATGGAATTGGTACCATCACGGCTGTAAATGGAAATATTAACGCTGAAAAATACCAGGATATTCTTGATAACAATCTGTGGCCAGTTATAGCTCGCCATTTTCCATCTGGTGACTATATATTCCAGGATGACAATGCCCCCGTACATCGTGCGAGAACTACCCAGGGATTTATGCACAGAAATAGAATAACTGGAATGAGCTGGCCTGCACAAAGTCCCGATATCAATATCATCGAGAATCTATGGTTACTTATCAAGAGAAAGTTACAGACACGAGTTGGGAGGATCGCGAGTAAGGATGATCTATTTCACGAAATCCAGTGTATTTGGAGGGAGATCAGCCCAGACTTCGTTAAATGCCTCTACCGATCTATTCCCCGGAGATTAATGAATGTTATTCGTCTAAAAGGGCATCTCACAAAGTACTAGGTAAGTTTCATTATTTATTTCATGTTTTTTACTGCAATATCTATACTCGAAAATTGACCTAATTTCGTATCGAATGTAAACACGCCGCCATCTTGTCCGAATATATATTGCATCATACTGTAAATAGAATGTTGTAAATTTTCTTCGTACTAAGTGAGAAAAAGAACTATTTCGATCTACTTCTCCATATCTTTCATTTTAAATGGCAGAATGTAAAAATTCATGTATATTGTAGTCATTTTTTCCCTTTTGTTTTTAAATGTACTTTGTATATTCCATGTCTTTAATAAAGAATATGATGAGAGAGAGAGAGAGAGAGAGAGAGAGAGTTTTCACATTGCCTTACTTCCTTTTGCTTGTAAAATATTAAAAATAATATATACTTGTATACCCATTGTGTTTTGTTTTCTCAAATATTGTACTTGCATAAACACTAATCTCAAAGATTTGTTTGACAGAGTTTTTTTGAACAGAAGTTGAAAAGGGGTTACTTGTTCTTGGGTATCTGCAATACCAACAAGAAATCTGTGAGCCAAAGCTCAATAGTAATAACCCCACTCTGATGTAAATAAGATCTATCATGTTAAGGTTTCATGAAAAAGGTCAGGATGTCCAAAAACTTATTTTTACAGTAGCTCCAAAACTCTGTGAAGTACAAAGATAAAACTTTTACAGTGTGTAAATTTATCATTGCTTAACAGACAGAAAGTAACATTTGAAAACAAATATTACGAACTAATTAACAGTCGTACACAGAACTTGTTTGTTTCCCTTTCATTTGCAAGTGTGTACTGTTTTTGCGTTTAAGTTTAATTGGCTTTTATTTTTTAATTAATATTTTGCTATTAAAATTAGGAAATTTACACATTTCTTTTGGGAAAAAGATCTGTAGCGTTATGGTTTTATATATTTGTCTTTGACCATAACGCTACAGATCCTGTAATGCAAAAAAGATGCAATTTACGGCGCAATATTTTTGCCCGCTTTTGGGGAGAATTTCTCCACTTTCAATCAACTACCTTTCACTCCCTGATCCTAGACAATTTCTGTAGCCAATATGTATATTTTATCCACCTTTCGACCATTTATAGTTGTCTCTACAGGCAATAAAGTCGCTAGAAGTGGATTTTCAGTGCAATATAACAAATAATTTTAATCAAGCGAGCTTTTCACTTGTAGAGACGAGTATAAAAGGTTGGGAGGAGTATAAAATTTACATATTGTGTATAGAATTAGTGTGAAAGGTAGTTGATTGACCAATACTTGAAAGTGGAGACATTCTCCCAAAAAGCGCGCAAAAGAATATTGCGCCATAAATTGCACCTTTTTTGCTACAGGATCTGTAGCGCTATGGTCAAAGACAAATATATAAAACCATAACGCTACAGATCTGCAGCTAGGAAAAAGGTACCGTTTTTTGCATTGGAAACGGGGCCGAATATCGGCCCCAGTTTTAGAGAATCCAGAGCCCTGTGCAGCTTCCACATGAGTTTCATCTTTCCTGGCCCAGTGGTTCTTGAGAAGTAGATCTTAAAAGATTTTCCCTACATACTCGTATGTGAAAATTTAAACGGCCATTGTGGCCCCTCCCAACCCCCGTGGGTCATGATTTGAACAAAATTGAATCTTCAATACTTGAGGATACTTCAACATGAGTTCCATATTTCCTGGCCCAGTGGTTTTTGAGAAAAATATTTTTAAATGATGCCATTATTTTTTCGCTTATTCATAATTATCTCCCCTTAGAAGAGGGCGTGGACCTTCATTTGACAAACATGAATCCCCTTCACCTAAGGATACTTTTTGGCAAGTTTGGTTGAAATTGGTCCATTGGTTCTTGAGAATAAGATGAAAATGTGAAAAGTTTACGACGATGACGGCGTCGACGACAGACAACGGACAAATTTTGATCAGGAAAGCTCACTTGAGCCTTCGGCTCAGGTGAGCTAAAAACATTTGAAATAAATGCTAATAATAAATTCAACGAGTCATTTTAATGCGTTTATGATGTCCAAGGACTTAGTTAAGTTTTATTTTAAATGTTGTACTTTAAATGTAAATATTTAATGTACTCATTACTCAATTAAAAAATATCTTTACATCTGCTTAAAATTTCTCTGTATATATAAGGATGTTCATTTTGTCTATTTTATTTTATTTACCTGTGTATCAAGAAAGGTATGTATTTTTAACATGTTCATTTTTGTAGCACAAAGAGTAAACTCAGGTGACCTATTGCTATCTCTTCGTCCGTCGTCGTCAGTCGTACGTCGGTCGTAAACTTTTGAACATTTTTAGCTTCTTCTTTGGAACCACTGAACCAATTTCAACCAAATTTGGTATAAAGCATCTATGGATAAAGCGGAACAAAATTTGTAAATTTTATGGCCCCTGCCCTCCTGGGGTCTGAGGGGTGGGGCCAAAACCACTAAACCTAATGCAATTTGTAAAAATCTTCTTCTTTACTCCTAAATATCAAGCAGTCAAATTGTTTGCATGATTGTAATCAGCATTGAGTCTTCTATCAAAATTATGAAATTCATGGCCCTGGGGCCATGAGCTCTAGTGCTAGTGCGGGGCTAAATAAATTATATAGTGAAAATGCATTATTTCTTTGAAAATCTTCTTCTCTGCTCATGGGTTATATATTATAGTGAAAAAACTATTTCTTTGAAAATCTTCTTCTCTGCTGAGAACATAGTTATGATGAGCGAGAGTGCCTCTTTTAAAATTGTGAATTTTATGGCCCCAGGGTCAGGGGTTCTGGTGTTAGGGTGGGGCTCTATTGATTATATAGTGAAAATGCACTAGTTTTTTGAAAATCGTCTCTTCTAATGGGCATTAAATGAACTAAGTACATAGTTATGATGAGCAAGAGTGCCTCTTCCCAAATTGTGAATTTTATGGCCCCGGGGTCAGTGTTTCAGATGTTAGGGCGGGGTCTAATGATTATATAGTGAAAATATACTAATTCTTTGAAAATCTTTTTCTCAGATCCTGGGTTTAAATAAACTAACTTATAGTTATAATGCCTCAACCAAATTTGTGATTTTCATGGCCCCTGTGTCAGGGGATTTGCCATTTAGTTTATAGGGGGTGGGCTCTTTTGATTATATACTAGTGAAAATACATTAATTCTCTGAAAATAGTTTCCTTTGCACCTGGGTATTATGCTAATGATCCAAGTATATATAGTTAAGATTAGCAAGTCAGTGCATCTTCCAAACTGATTAATTTCAGGGCCCCTTGGTCAGGGGTATTAGGGGAGAGGTACATAGTCTGAAAATAAATTTATGCTTTGAAATCTGTTTTTTTTTTGGTATTTATCTACCGTTTATGATGAAATAAAATTCATGATAAAATTTCCAAAATTTTGAAATATGTGGCCACATGGTCAGTGGTACCTTTGGGGTGGGATGCACAACTGGTTTTAAAGTGGAAGTGCATTTTCTCTTTGTTATTCTGATCTACCTCTGGGTATTAAGTAAATAGAGTAAGCATGTTTAGTTTATAATTATGATAAGCAATAGTGCCGCTTTTAAAATTGTGAATTTCATGGCCTCTGGTTTAAAACTGGAAAGTTGTTACATGATACTCAGGTGACCTATAAGGGCACTAGGCCTCTTGCTATTGGCGTCGGAAGCCCCCCCCCCCCCCTACACACACACAATATAGTATTTTCGTGTTTGGACATGGACATTTCCTTTTTTGCTTGTGTCAGGTTTTTTTTTTTTGGAGGTAAAAATGTTTTTTATACATTTATAATTTATTTAAGCCCCCCCTCCCAACTTTCAATTTCCTTCCGACGCCAATGGTTTAAGACTCTCTATACATCAATGTTTCTGTTTTTGACTTGGAAATAAATAAATAATTTGCTGTCCTTTAAAACAAGTCCGTATGTCTTTTGTCTGTCTGTAACGCTTTCGTTTCCACACGATATCTCGAGAACCCTTTGAGCTTTTGCGATGAAAATTTGCATAGCAACTCCCTATGGACTACAAAAGACCCGTATTGATTTTAAGGCCAAAAGGTCAAAGGTCAAGGTCATAAATAAGCAAATTCTGTCTGTTATAACACTTTCGTTTCCACACGATATCTCGAGAAACCTTTGAGCTTTTGCAATTATATTTTGCACAAAAACTCCCTGTGGTCTAAGGAGGACCCCTATTGATTTTGAGGTCAAAAGGTCAAAGGTCAAGGTCGTAAATTTATACATTCTGTTTGGATGAAACACTATCATTTTCGGGCGATATTTCAAGAAGATTTTGAGCTTTTGCTATGTAATCTTATACCAAAACTCCCTAGGACCTCTCTCACTCCTCTCAACGTGCCCCGCCCCGTTTGTTCTATTAAGTATTTATTGAATT